GTGAAGCACTTGAAAGGAAGGTGTTACTCTTCTGCAATACAGGCAATAGTTATAGGTGCATAAAACCTTGGACCAGCTTTCAGACCAAAGTGGATTGAAGCCAAGTGAGATCTCTCCCCTGAGCCCATATACTGTGCACAGTTGCATAATCAGTGTTACTTTTCTGTAAAATATCTCATATGGAGATACAAAGTGAGCAGACATTACAGACATGAACCAGGTATTTCAGTGGCAATTCTCCCATGAAATCACCATCTGAGTTGCCAGCAGCACTAAAGGCAATAAAATCACTACAGACATTGCAAATGAAGCAGCTGATCTATAACACAAACAAGCATTATTCTTTGTTAGTAGCAAAGATAAAACAACTGCAAAGAAAAAGAGTTCAAGACTGGGAAACTGATTTCTCCAGCTGCTGATATACCCAGCAAGATCAGAAAGGCCTCAACCACAGCTGATAATAGCTCCCTTCTTCGTGATATTCCTTAGAAACTAAATGGCCAACTGTTGGAGGAAAAAGTAAGTCCCCTAGATTGTACTTTATTTCCTATATTATTAAGCTAAAGACCGTCTTATAAGCAAGGAATTTTTACATTAAAAGAATCAGCCCAAGTTTATCAAGAGAATACCGAGAATTATATTTCTTATTTTGCCATCATAAGCAAAATCTGTTTCCTTTCTTTCCTTCTTGTTACCGGGTTAAAGGGAGCACTAACACAGCACCTGCCTCACAAAAGAGCACCTTGATTTTTGAGAAGAATGTGTGGATGATCCTATCCAGAAAGAGCTTTGGGAAAGACATTGTGAATAGAATAAATCCTTAAGGTGATCTAATCGTTTCTCTCAATAAGTTCAGGGTTTGGGTTTCTGTAGATTCCATCTTTTGATTGCCCGTATCACAACCAAGAACTTCAGCTGGCACCAAGAAGCTACAGCAGATGGTATTATTGCCCGACAAATATTCCCAACGTGGATAAAGTATTTTTAATCTTAATTTCAAGCAAGAAGTACATGATTCAATTTTAGGAATAAACAGGGCAAGTATGGCACTGTTGAGTTCACAAAAACTTTCTGCACTAACATCGAGACCCAGATGTTCCCAGAAATAGAAAAAAAAAAAAAACAAATAGTCAAGAAAAACAGTGATTTAATTTACCAGAGGGGCAAGTGACATTAGCAGCTCAAGGATACCGGAATATAAAGTTACAGTACAGTACATATGTCTTCAGTGAGAGACTGCCCATTCCAATTTTCCCTGCTCCCATTTATGTTGCAAAGGTTCAGAACAGCTTTGGTATCTTTTTTAATATAATAAAATAAAGGGAGGTTGCAGTATTTTTTTTTCCAGGCTTAAGTATAAAATTGATGTAATATGGCTGAGCTTGCACATATCCTCAGTTCCTTCTGCAGGAAAGCACAGTTGCACCCAGTTGCTAAGGCAAGAGAGGAGTTGTTGACATTTCTTACCCAGAAAAGCAGCCATCAGCAAACTAGCAGTCCTATCTATCTCTGCTTTAAGTCTCCATGTCTGTCAAACAGTTTCTCCAACTTGCCGTCTCTAAAATCACTTGCTACAGACTTTAAGCAAGTTTGAGTTCTCACTATGGTCTAATGTTGCCTGCTCTGTTTCAGTCCAGGCTGCCTTTTCAAGTCCTTTATCACAAACACCACAGCACACAGATCTTTGCTGGGGTCTAAGCTTTTTGGTTTATTTTATAGCTTAAAGTCATGTGCAGCCCACACATGCAGGCTCTGTTGCCAAGGGCCTGCCTAGCCTCATTATCCCAGTCTGCAGACATCAACAGGCACTCATGAAAACCAGACCTCTAATTTTCTTTTACTACAAAGTGTATGACCACGGTCTGGTCTTCTCTATGAACACAAGGAAGCCAACAGAAATTGCTGTATGAATGCATATGGTGTGCCTTCTACAAGTCCTACAGGAATTATATTAACCCCAGCCTTCAGCTTAAGTCTGTGTATTTTTCTGCTGAAATGAGATTTTTAACTTGACTGGATTCAGCTATGAAATACAAGGCCTTGCTAAAAAGGTACATTAGCTCATTTACATGACCATTACGTGGAGCAAATCATGACTCTGGACATGGATCTATATAGACTGGACAACCTTCCAATTCTGCAAAGGCACTCAGGACTCCTGCATTTATCTATTCATGTTGAGACAATTTCTATTTACCTTTTACCAAAATCAGCCTAAGCTGTGCATTTTACTTCTGTGACTGAATAGTTTCCACCTTGTCATCTTGGATCTTAGTGTTTGGAACTAAAAATATACTTCTAGTTAGTTTGCCAGACCAACTAGTGTTAATAGCAGTAGTAAGCCATGCTAAAACCTGCTCGCATGGGAAGACCCAGCATGTAGCTGGTGCTGCTCACTGAAGCAGCAAACGGGAGGCTCTGACTTGCAGGACTGTGCCACATCTGTGAAGGGGAATTTCCCATCCAAGTAAAATGGTGAACTAATGGGGAATTACCCCATGTAGGATAGCTAGGAAGAGCTATAAAAGTCAGATGTATCCATTTTCAACAGATGGGTTTTCATACTCACTGGTAGAAATACAGAAGGGCAACACTACGATAATACTCAGTATCCTTCGTAGGAACTCCTTTTCTTACTACCACCCACACCCTTCTCCCCATTAGCTTCCAGCATGCTGCGCATTGTGAATAGACTTGGAAAAGGCAAGACAAAGTGCCCAATATTTTGTATTTCTTCTTTTAAATCCAGAGAAACTTCCCTGTCAAGAAGTAACACAGCAGCAAAGCAGTGTTGTACCTCCAAGGTTTGAAACGCTTTTCCTCGATTTGTATATTTTTTTGAAGGACAGTCAGCAAGCACCTCTGCTGCTTCTATAGAAGCCACGAATTGCTTCCCCAGGCACAGGCCTCACTGTTGTCGGCCTGGGGTAAAAAGCGAATGAGGCAAGTTGACACTGATTTTATTTCTGTGGCAATTTAATCTCTAATCATTTATAAATTTGTTTTACAAACATTAACAGCTTGCAATTAGCAATGGTTTAAACTGATAGACAAGATGGGCCATTACTGCCCTTTCAGGGAGGCAGCAGAAACCAAGGGAGAAGGTAGATTTAAGTGACCTACATAAAATCAGAGCAGCAGCTAAACCCAGACCCAACTTGAAAAGTCCATGTTGCCTTTGTGTAAAAATCAACAAAGGCACAAGTAGGATCACATACAATCACATGGACTCACCAGTGTGATCTGGGGAGTAGCACAGCCAAGTTCTTACAAACTCACACCCCATTTAACAAGACAGTGGTTGTATTATCACATGAATACAGTCAGCCCTGTACACACATGCTGTTGCAGACCCAGGGAACTTGGGTACTGTACTGTATTCCCCATGCTTCATTCAAGAATTACTACAAAGCAAAGCTGAATGTTTCTTTACCTACAGTGTCAGCATGTCACAGGGTCATGCTTCTCCATGACCTCTCATTATCCAGAGGAGAAAACTGAAATATAATGGTTTCAAAAGTTTTCTATGTTACATATGATTTTCTGCATAGTAGTCACTGTAACATGCACCTATTTATGGGTTTTGCTTTATCACTCCTGGCGGGGAGAAAATTTTCAGTTTGCAGACCAAAACCACAAGAAGATAGTTCTCAACAGTCCTCACTTCTCCCATCTTAGACACAGGATCTTCCTTACCATTAGTTTTCTGTGATTTGCTGCTCCTTACCCTCTTCTTCTACCTCCCCCTCAACAGTGAGCAGAAAGCAAAGGATAAAAGTTGTTTCCTAAACCTCTCTCTCCAGGAACGTAAATTCACATCCATTAAAGTTAAGCAAATACACTAACATTAAAAAGGAACCAATTGCTTAAGCAAGCAAGAAAGCACTGTTGAAAGCCCAAAGCCTCCCCATAGAAAACACTCCACATCTCAAAGGTTATATTTTATAATAAATATTATAAAAATAATATTTAACATAATTATAATATTTTATAACTATAACATTTTATTTATACATTTTTAGTATTTTATCATTATATGTATATAATTCTATATAACCATATCTCTATTATATTTATTATTTTCTTTATTATTGCATTTATTATTTATAAAGCATTTTATAATATTTTATTATTTATTGCTTATTACAACAGCAAAAAATAATAAAATAAATACCCAACAGCATGGGCACCTAACAGGACAGAACCATTTAAAAGCAAAAAACTTAGATCGTCATAAAACTGTGTGTTCAGATGAAAGCAAGCAGAACTCGTTAGCCATTCTCAGAAATTACAGTTCACACACACTTAAAAATACCAGCAAAACAAAGATTGGAAATTATAAAGTATTAACAAATTGTTTTAATTAGCCCAAGCACAGCAGCATGTTAAACTTCCCCTATTTCACTTACCCCATTCCCAAGACAGCTCAAGTGGAAAACACACTGTTACATAACACAGGCCACGTTTTGCTGAGCAACTCTCTTAGCATAGCTGTAGCAAGCAGGGCAAGAGACCTGGACTCAGGTACCCATCATCACCTTGGTACATATTATACAGCTGAACACTTCAATCCAGACAAGTGACTTGCAGCTACTTTCCTCTCCATCATTTTTTTTTACGATGCCCACTAATTACACCCCACAGCAACTACATAATTCCAGCTCCTTTTGCAGTAATCCAGAACAGTATTCTATAAAGACTTTGCTTTAGGATTCCCTTAGAAGCACTCCATGCTGTAGCTGCTATAACAGCATACTTGTTCCTGGAGAAACCTGCCACTGCAGTCCCTTTGGCTCATGCTTACCTTGGGTTTTCCACATGTTAGGTTGGAGCACAGCTCTCTTCTGGCCAGCATCCTCAGCACTTCACTTCAGAAACAGCAGCAGCACCCAGTGCAGATTCAGAAAAGCAGAAAGATAACACAGATCCATACCACCCACAGTGGTAGAGACTCCTCAGCTTCCCCAGCTCACCCTTCCCAACCACACCACCCCTCTTACCTCTTTGTTAGCTCAAATCTACATAGAAGTCCAAAGCAGGTCAACCTCCTCTCCAAGATTTCCTAGTGTGATGCAGACTCCAGTCACTCCCTTTCCAAAGCCAGGCGGTTTCCTCAAAAGCCTTCAGGTAGCAGTCTTTGACTCATGCTTAGTCCTAGCAGAAGTATGAGTAGCAGCAAGAAGCCAGTAAAACCCTACAGAAACCATCTGTTGTTATAAACACCCTTAGAGTGCTTATTCAATCTATTGATGGCATATCTTCATCAGGTTTATATATTTGAACTTTTTAAAGCAAATTGTTTCCTGGCCCTGCAAATCCTCCCTCAGCCCTGTTAGCCACCTGGACCCAGCTGAGAGAAGTTGTAAAGTTAATTATTAGAGCTAATGGCTCCAAGCACACCACCTGGGCTGGGGCATTGCCTCAGCACATGCTTGCTGTCCACACCAGTGGGAGCCTCTTTGGTCAATGTATTGGTCACATTGCAGCACATACTACAGCATATATGTATCATCCCACCTCAGTGACATATTCCAACTTAGAAAATCTCTCATGCGCCCAGGCCACGTTTTCCCCCCACTGTAGGGGACCTTGTATGCTATTTTCTTCCTATTCTTTATGGCATATGCTCCAAATCAGTGTGGGGTTACCAGAAATCAAAGGATAGGCATGACAGACTGCCAAGATAAAATATCAGCAGTTTTCCTGGTTTTCATCTCCCAAGACATCATCCATCCCCCACATTACCCAACCCTCCTTTCTCAGTATACTTGCCCCCAAATCCTCCAGCTCATTGTTCCTTAAGAAGAGCTTCCTGTCCTCTAAACAGCAACACCACTTCTAGCCCCAAGCCTTTGCTTCTCTTCATTATTTAGTTTCTCACTAGTTGTTCCAAGTCCCACTACCTGGCAGCCTCTAGTAAAGAGCTGCAACTCCTCTGTAATTCCACCCCCAATAGAAGCGGTAGGTGCTGTGCCATTCCCTTTCCATACTGCCATTTCATCTTCCTGTCCTTGTACCCACTGCTGGGGACTTCACCCTTCAGACTCTGGCTTGAGCCTGTTATTGCCAGGTGCTATGTTTTGACTCCAAGCAGCGATCAGTTAGACTCCAGATGCAGTTGAGCAGACTTCTCTCTCCTTTGCTCTTGGTGAATACTAAACAGTGCCCAGAGGACGCAGTGCCTTCCTAGACTTGGCTGAGTCTTTTCAAGAAATTGATTGTTGTAATTTAAAGTGTAAAACCACATTTCTTAGCCTCAAAAAGGAAGTTACTGTTCACCCTGCAAGGGGAAAACTCTATTTGAATCATCTTTCACTTCACAAGCCACAGATCACAATGTCTCCATAACATTAATTACAGGATTTAGCACAGAATTAAATTTATGTAAATAAAAGTAATTATAATAATTATTGCTACTATGGTGCAATTATATTACTAATTGTGCCCTGACTTGCATTTCTGGTATCAGCTATGTCTTTATATACTTCACCACCACCACCCTCAGAGGGGAAAAAAAACAAGTTCCTCCCTCACACACAACAGAGCACTTCATCACCTACCAGAAATCTAAACAAACTATCCTGTTCTGACCTGCTAGTACTGATTCACTGATCTTGTTAGGTTTAATTGTTCAGGAGACAAATAGAGCAGATATACCAGAGGGAAAAGCAGTATTTGTGTCTAATGGAGTGCCTTCTGTTGTGTAGTTATGGATAAATTTCCCATTTAGTACCAGTATTTTCAAGTTTCTCATAAACTGCAAACTGGGATGCAGTTTGACTTCGAAGACCCAAAAGAATAATGTTTCTGAAACACAGTATATTCCCTGAACCCGCTGAGAACTCTGCAGGTATTTCACACCTACACAGAATAAGCAATTACTAGTCAAATGTGGTTTCAGCTCCAGTTGTTGCTCTATAGCTATGTCGGTACCTATGTTTGTGTCTAAATCACAAGGCAAGAATGCTCCGGAAAGTAAACCACTGCCAGTTGCCTAAATTTGCAGAGTTACGAATCTACCCTTGCTGCCAGCCTCTTTGCTTCCAGTGGCTATTAGAGTGGATACAAGATAAGAAGGTGCAGGAAGGACATTACTTACCTGGGTCTTATGTCAATACAGTGTCAAGATGTGTCTGGACACCCATCCAATTATCAGCTAAGAAGCCTTATAAATAGACTGACACCTCTCTCTTGTACTTTATTCTATAAGCTTTCTCCTCAGCATGGCTCAGTAGACTAGGAAATAAAACTTTAGCTAAGTAAAGCTCTAACCCAGCAAGTGATGAAAAAGTCTAGAAGAACTGAAGAAGAGTATGTAGAGAATACATTGAACCAGTATTACGCTATGGTACTGGAAGCACCAAAATTTATATTTTTTTCAGATAAGATGCAAAATGCAGGTTTCTGTTTGGTGTGATCATTGTTGGCCTTTCAAAAGTTAGGAGGTTTACTCTCAGTGAACAAGCAAAAGTTCCTCATGCCATCCTTTTTCACTGTTTTGTACAACTGTTTCAAACTCTCTTGCAGCTGCATTGTAAACATTCTACTCTAAAAAGAAAAACAAAAAAAAAACATGATGAGTATGCTAAACTGGAAAGTGAGGATTTTCGTCTAAAGGCAGCTTTTATACCAATGTGTAAGAATATAATTACAATGGAATGAGTTTGTAGTTCATTAAGCTTCCGTACTATATAAACTTAAGGCAGAAAATCCTGTGCCTGATACTTACTATATAAATAAATAATAGTATGACTTCATGGAGATATACTATCCCTATGTGACAAAGGGTTACTGCCATTTCATGACCTCGTTCAGCTTTATTAGACCTGACTGCCTTATCAATATGGCTGTCCTTCCTGCATACTCTACTTACAAACATATACTACTCTGTTTATCTGAGCTAGTACAGATGTCTCTCAACACAACCCTTCATTATGCAGCATAGACATATGCATTCAACATCTCAAGCAGTCATACACAGTGCAAGGCAAACGGTACCACATTGGTTTCTAAGTTCACAAAACGATTTTGGCAGAAGCCATCTTGAAAGACATGAAATATGCTGAGTATAGTCATCGTTAGAAATCAGCTCTATGCCTCTTGCATACCCAAAGCTCCCCCTGAAGTACAGAAGAGATTTGTTACAAGTACTTCAGTGACAGTGAACAAGGCCCCTTGTTGTTATCAATGAAAGTCATTCACTTGAGCTGCTAAGTGATTTTTCGTTATGGTATGACGAGCAACCACAGATTTAGCTATGACTGGAAGAGAAGTAAAAATGCAAAAATGGAGAAGCAATTTTTATGGACTGATTTTTTTAAAAACAAACAAGTGTCAAGGAATATTACGTACCACATCTAATTACCCACCAGTTCAGCAGAAGCTGTAGCTTTGATTTCACAAATACAACAATGAGGTGAAAAATCACAAAGTCTCTGCTGAATGGAGGACAATTCCTCTGTTGGCGCAGAGAACCATGCTTTTTCATACAAAAACATTAACCAGAATAATTTTTGCACTCGGTCTGCTGTTTGCAACAGGAAATTTCAGACAAATCACACCATAACTTACTTCTAATGACCACTTATCTATTGCAAATCATTACATCTTCACAGCCAAAGGGGGGTTGGTACTACCTTACTAATAGCTTATTAAAATGGTCAGGAGCTTCCTGTAGACTATAAGAACTACATAAGAAAATTAGAGAGGAAGAGAGACACTGAAAGTTCTGGTATAAACTTTACAAGATCTAATTAATTTCAGTAGATGAAAACCTGTGAAATAACTTTCCTCACACACAAGTATGGTTCTCCCAAAGATAAAAGAAACATTCTTTAAAAAGCTTTCATTACAATTGAGTCAGCTTAGTGTAAGTCACTGCAAAAAAAAAATACTTAGCAATAATTTTTTTCTGTGTTACAGAAACAATTTGAAAATTATTTACCTTTCTCTAGGCAGTCTTTTGTTGCTGTATTTACTGTGAGACAAAAACTCCATTAGTTTTTACCCATGAATAGGAAAAGTGGATTTTAGTGCAGTTCTATATCCGTTAGGCCAATGACATCAAAGCCATTTGGTATTCTCTAACTAAATAAATATGCTCAACTCACATAATCTCGTTTCATGTTTCTTCTGATTGGATTGGTTTTCTCACTCTTTAGCACTAGGGGAATGCCACTGTGCGTGTTTTCTTCTCAAGAACCAGCCTAACCAGAGATGACTGCTGCTGTCTCTCCAACTGACTAACGCTAACTGGATATAAATAAATTTTCTTTCAATCTTTGATTATTTCTACCACAACTGTACTACATAATAAATATCTAGTATAATAATTAAATGCTTTTATTGAACAGGATAGTTATTATTATTTTCTTTTTAATAAATTGGGCATTGCAAAGATCAACTCCACAAAACACCATATGGCTAATTTCAGCAACTTTGTAGGTCCAACTATATTTTCTTAACAAATAAAATCATGATGGGTTCCTCCTCATCACTTCGTAAGATTGTAAAACAGTGATCTGGAATAGCATATATGTAGCTGCTATCACAAGATATTTGGCAGGGGGGCTGGAACTTGATGATCTTAAGGTCCTTTCCAACCCTAACTATTCTATGATTCTAAGTAAAGCCATGATAAAACTGAGATAGCAGAATTCAGGTGGTCAGATTTTGGAGACGCAGTACGGTTTTGATCTCAGGCAAGAGCCATTCAGAAATGTTGTATTTTTGCACATTTTCCCGGTTTGGATTTTAGTGCCGGAGAAAAGTATCTTTTTCTCCATTAAACTTAACCACATTCATGCACATGTTGCTCGCAGTGTCATAAACAACAACTGTACATACACAAAACCTACAGAAAAAGACAGATTGTAACCAATAATTTTTTTTTAGAAGAGGGCAATAAAGAACCAAGGAGAGCTCCTGATGATACTATCTGTTGGGATGTCATCCATCTTCCCAAGTGGTCTAAAGGGTAGCTAACAAATAAAGACAGAAGGCTGATATTCTGCTCTTAACTCTTGTTTCTTGCCGCCCTCTGGATATGTTTTTTACTTATCTGTAAAAGCTATGCTATTCACACAGACCCCCTTTTACAGGACAGTTTGGGATCTAGATTTGAAATAAGTACACGAGAACTACGCAGTTCAATCTGAAATCAATGCAATAAATCAACATGCATTTGATTTCATAGCAACAATCACAATAGAAATATTCTACATTTAAAACTCATGGAAGGATCCAAATAAGCACAGGAACAAGGGCAGTACATCAGTGAGGGTGGGTTGCTTTTTCAACATTAAGTTAAATAATTACCGTTTCCACTAACACAAGCTAAGATTGCAAGTTAAAAGATAGAGCAAGATAGCTAGTAATCAGTAGGAAATTAACAACTATCCATGGAGGTAGTCAAGGTAAGGAAAAAGAGTATTGGACTAGAAGTAAACAGGATGAAATAACTGAAAGGCTCTTCTCATCTGTGTAAGACTTTCAGACACAAAAGCTTTGTTTGTGGTTCAGAGAAACAAAACAGGAATTAGAAATTCAGAGAAAATGTTTTCCAAATTCTTTGATCTGGAGTTTGGTCTAAAGAAGCAGTTCTCCTAGAGTTTTATTAAGCAGCTTGATAAGAAAACAAGCATTTTTCAGTTTTACTTTATATTCATTCCTTGTTCACGGCCTGTATAAAGAGTTACTTCTTAGAGCACTTTCATTACCATTAATTTCATCAGCACAGCACTCAGCAGTGCTCTTAATGTGGTTTTAGGCACATTCTCTTGATTTTCTTGTACAGAATAAAGATACCAAAAAAAAGTCCCCTCCCAAAATATGCTAACCCACCAGTTTCCTTAATTTCTATAGGAAGAGGAAAGAGCAGGTGGAATATTGAGCACTGTGCATCCTGCCATGTTACTTTCACAGATACTATTACTTACCTGCATCAGTGATTCTCCCAAAGTGTTTTGGCACAATACAAAGACTGCAAATGACAATCACAAGACAGAACTCCTTTTTGAGTGTGGTACAGATATCCAGGTCCCTATTTGGGTACTGTAGCTGCCAATAACTGCTTTATTTTGTCTTGTATCTTGAAGAATATAACAATCCTTACTTGAAGTTTTTTTCTCATTAGAGTTAGGAAGTGCTATCTCTCTAAAGGAAATCAAATATGGGTCCTATGAATCTTTCATAATGCTTTCACCCAGAGCAGCAGTTAATTGCGACATTATGGAGAATTACATTACCTCCTAAATTTACATGCTATCAATAAATTCAAACTACATCTCCTCTGCAGTTCACTTCCTATACCATTCAGTATCTCCAATTTTTACCCCAAACCTTTCATGCTGTAGCACTTAACTTCAAAAAGGAGCAAGATACAGAAATTGTGGACGGTATTCTTGATTAGAAGAAAGCATGATCATAATAAGGACTACAAAACATGTCAGTACATTCTTCTTCAAAAGCCAAGTAAAAAAGAAAAAACAACTCACAATTTATCAGGTATGAAAGAAATGTAGTAGGGATTAAGCCCTAAAAATACCCTGTAACCTTATCTTTGACAAGTGCATTATACCTACTGCTAGCAGACCTGTGGCTTTCTGTCTAGGTCTCATTTTAGCAACCTTTGTCAGCTTGTCACACCTGTTCCTTTTGAATTGAACTGCAAGACAAGGAGAAGAGTTTCTTCTCAAATCTTAGAAAGAGAACTTGTACATCAAGTATTTTAAGTGCAGATATGGCAGCTACAGCATTCCTGGAAACCTTGGGATATTATACTAAAATAAAAGTCAAGAGCTACAATGTGCATTTGGTGCACAGGCATACATGAAATGGTTTGCTGGCACTTACCAATCTGTACAGAGTAACTGCCTGCAGAAGGATAATCCAAATTAGTGCCCTTTCCATGAGTATTTTTGATTTCTGAAATAACACATGCATTTATAGAGATATTTTTTTCTCTATCTTATTTTTCTTTAGTCAAACTTCCATCAATGAATCCTGAACAATTTTGATCTTTTTGGAAATGGACTCACAGCATCTGTGCTTTTGCACCTTTCATATAGACTGGAAGCTCAAACACCTGAAGGTGCTGCAACATACTCAGGAAATCAATTACAGCTCACTAGCTCCCATAACGTTAGAGAGGACAGCGAGACTCTGTGTCTTCTGTTATATATTGTTGTTCTTACAGCATTTCTCACTTGAGAAAAAAGAAAAATAATCCCACAAACAGTTTAAGTTTCAAGGGATGTGAAAGATTTCTTGAATTCTACTGCTTAGCATTTTTGTCTAGAGTTAGAGGAAGTGTGTTCAATCCATGTTCTACATTTCACAACAAGTTACGTGTTCACAGAAGTTAAAATATGGCTTAACACTGTTTGCCTCCATAAATGGCTTGATTAGAACTGCATGGAGTAGACCTGTTACAGGTAAAACCAGTGGTTTCTTAAAAACTTACAGATCGCAATACAGAAATTAGCACACACAACTGATTCTTCATGTGTATCAAATAAAAGATGTTTCCACTGCCATCATCAGCATAACTGAATGTAATTCATGCATGTTCAAGGCATCTTTGAACTACGTAGATCAGGTTTTGCAGCTCTTTTAACTAAGGCAACACAAAGCTTCCGGCAGGCTGCAAAACTTGATGGAGCAGCAGGGCCAATGCTTGAGCATACAGAAGAACAAAATGAGTTCCAGGCTGCTATTAGAATGGGGCTGATATTTAATTTAGCTAGTTATGGTTAAGACCAAATTTTTAGTTTAATATTTTAAATCCTTATTCAGTGAAGAACCCACCGAAATGTCAAAAGAAATAAGCCTGAACTTTAAGTACCACTTTAATTTTTCAATTCATTTTTCTGAAATTATACATAGTAATTATGTTTCATATTTTTGACAGGTTTCCCATAGACCTTCTTCAAGGGATGTAGGGCTTATCCTTTGTCCATGTTGTTGCTCTTTGCATTTTTAGCTCCAAAACAAATTGTTCTTCCTTCTTTAATGCCTGTTATAGGTGTGGTGGTTTGTGGTGTTTCTTTTTTCCCCTCACCTCAAGTGAAATTTACTGAAGTGTGTCTTGGGTCATGAAACACATCATGAAAAAAAGAGGAAACTTTACAACACTGATCTACTAACAACAGTATTCTATCTATGACAGTATTGCTAATACAGAATGTCTTCCCAAGTGTATCTTAGATAATGCCTAAATTAGATGTCAGATAATTTGCTCTAAGGAAGTAACAAATACAAAAGCATATAAGAGGCCTCAGGAATTACATTATACAGAGAATTTGAACAAATGTTGAAAAGAAGGCTGAAGAGATGGCAGAATGTAAGATGAACAGTGTTACAGACAATAGTAGCATGAAAAAGAATATGAAAATCTTTCAACTATCTCCAAACTTTTACAGAGTAACTTACTGCAGTCTTATTTGTCACAAACCAACAATTATTTTGAGGGTTTGCCCTTGCTTCTTCCTCCTTGGATGTATCAGCAAAATCTAGGAAATCACTGGCAGTCCTAGAATTGGAATAGATTTATTGTATGTATACTGGACAAACATAATAACAAAGATTATATAGACAAACCAGCTTGAGAGAAATCAAAAAGCTTTCTTACCTACCAAATATTCCACTAGCAGAAAAGGCAATTTGGTTTGTGACTAGCACACTACCTTGAAAAATCATACTTTGTTCCACCCCTAGTCCGCTCTGTGATCTAAAAGTAGGTTATTTCAATGACTTGTGTCTCAGTTTTTTCCTCCGTAGGGAGATAACAAAAATCAAGTCTCCCTTGCAAATGTTTGGATTTAAAGGTAAAAAGTATGATGCAGGCATATTATCATCAAATTATTTTTAAAAGTCAATGAACAGTCATAGTTACATTCTTGTTATCTACAAGAGTAGCATTTACAAACAGCTTATAACCAAGGACTCTAACAAAAGAAAGAATTAAAGGAAAGAATGTGGAATGGCTGCAAGTTTCAGTGAAACTTTCTTTAGCTAAGAAGTTTCTTCTTCACTGAAATTTAGAGGGCATAGAGTGACTAATAAATGCTTTTTCCATACAGCAAGTACCAGACTACTATAATTACATTTAGCATTATAGCATATTTTAAAATAAGTATCAGTTACAAGTCCTGTGCAGTTTAACTTAAAGCTTTTCAAACCAGACACCTAGAGAAGTCATTTTTTCTAATGTAATTACAGATGATATTCAAACAAAATATTAAAATAAGTCTTTTACCTGACAGAAAAAATATTCTAATACTGGAATAAAAATAAAAGATTTATCACTTCCTACTGCCAGGAAACATGTCAAGAAACAACATTGCCTTCTCTGAAGTTGTAAAACTTGCCTAAGAATCAATGAAGAAAGTAACTTACAAGGGAATAATGGCACTTCCTTTAAAGCTTAGTGGTAACTGAAATGCAATATATTTTTTTGTTAATTTCCTTGCACACATCTTACAACACCAGAGTAGCTGAATTGTTTATTTCAGAAGAACTCATACATAAAAGCATGATTTTTAGAAAGCTCACATGCAACAGACTGTGATCAGAGTTTGTATATTTCAGTATCACTTACTTTCACCCAACTGCACACAAGGAAATTATTCAAATTACAAAAAAGCTTACTGGAATGTTGATTTTAGCAAGTTTTTTTCTAAATTTCACTTTTTAAAACTAACAATCTTTAAAAACTTTAGCCTAAAATATTCATTTTTAAAAGGGATATTTGTGGAACTTCAGTAGAAAACATTTTTTATAAAATACAAAATGCTTGAACGTTTTTAAAAATATTCAATATTTCTAAAATATTATGGAGTTGATAAATTGTCATAAATTTAACACAGGTTCCCCCTAATTCAGGAAAGTGGTTCTCAAAATAAATCAACGATTCCCTAGTGCACTTATAAAGAGAAAAGATCAAAAGCAGTAACTGGTATCTTTCCTTCCAGTGTTAATTAGTAATTAAAAATCTTAGCTTCATTAGTACCTACTCTGAAAAAGTTTGATTTTTTATAATTAATTCCTTTTTTGGTGGGGAAAGAGGACACTACACAGACAAATCCTATAAAAAAGAGTAATGAAAATTGACTAGTTTGAAACTGTTTGCCTTCATCACAGTTAAAAAAGGATATGAGACTCCATTATTTTCTTTTAAATAAGCATCTTCCCTGAAAGACCTCAGCTTTCATTTGGTCTTGAGTTGCAAGTATTGCATAATTCTACTGGCCAAGTGACATTCTTTCTCTGTGACAGTTCAGGTATGTCTGATAGTTTTAAGTAGAAATACAAACATTAGAATCGGTTCTTTGGCATGGTACAGAAGTTGACAGCTTCTACTATTTGGATTGACTGCAAGTCCTAAAGAAGAATTTCCCATATTTGGAACAAGGGGGACAGGACAGGACTTGTCACCATTTTGAAACGAAGTAGATTAAAACAATGTCCCTTTATGGATTTCAAGTGTCTTCCATTTGTAATTTACTTGATGTCTTCAGTACTGATTCCATTTTCACTTGCATTATCACAGCTCAATATTTCCTGCATACAAGGTAATCATCAGTATAGCAGTAAACCCTGTTAGTAAACCAGCATTCTGAATAAGGAAGAATGTCAGATCCATCTTTCTTCCTGTCACTTTCTCTCGCAGCATATCATTCATCTCTGGGAACTGAAAAACAGATATTTTTAGGTAAGTATTGCCACCTCGTGGTAGCATGCATAACCTCAGGCACTAAGAACTGAACCATATTTTTACTTAGGGCTGAATATTACAAATAACAGAGGATGAAAGCAGTCACAGGACTGGGTCACCCTAACTACCCTGAAAAAACATTTCACCAAGGATGTTGAAATGAAATGGTGTTTTGCTCCTCTCTGCTGTGATTTCACCTGGTTTTTTCTCATGCAAATTTCCTCTTTTTAATTCCAGCAATCTCCTAGAGTCCAATTGTTGGTCCATACGTTGCTGGGAGCAGCTGCCCTTGTATTGCTAAATGCTGTGTTTCTTCCTTCATTAATATAAACTGAGAAATCTTTTGCGGGGAAATAGAAGATTAAGACCCTTCTGCTTTATCTAGAAGCAAATGAAGTGAAGCTAAAAACAGAGACAACCTCTCAGAAATAAGAAATCTGTTACAAATAGAAGGCCTGGTGGGCTGATGTAGTGGTAAAGCAAGAAACAAAGAACAATGTTGTGAAACTGGTGATAACACATGCAATATTACATTACAGTGCAATGAAGGGGATTCCTCATTCCATAACACGCATTTTAATGGCAACATAATAGCAAAGGATGGCTATCTGTTGTTGACTGCATGAACAAAGATATTTCCTCTGAGAGCAAATGGAGGTGATGGCAGATTAGCATTTGTGATAAAGTCCCCTCTACGGTGTGATTTAGGGTATGTGTTTGCTGCAGATAAAGTCAGCTCCAGTAGATTTTGACAAACATACCCAAATAAGCTTTGAACTCTTCTGTTGTGCTGAAAGTAATATAGCCAGAATGCAAAGAACACTATATATCTCAGTGTTAGTTAGAAACCTTCAGGCTGGGTGACTCAGAAACTGTATCTTTCTTTGCTCTCACAAGGCAAAAGCAGCCACTGAAGGTAAGTGTGAAGTGGCCAAACCTTCCCAGAAATCATTCCAGTGTTCCGTAATTCTCTTGCACAAGAGGCAACAAACCAGATCAGCTTCATGCCATACAGCAAGGCTCATTTGTGCACACACCTCAGTGTATACATTCTCACATGTCACAGCCTCACTACACAGTGATTTTACTGGCAGAAGATGGACTATGCCAATACTGGAGGAAAAACAGATTAGCAGAAAGAAAATAAGGAAGGAATGACATTCTAGTTAATCCTACCTGCTTCTGGACAAGAAAATCAGAAGTGTGTGAAAACCGTAACAGAAAGCGTAAAGCCAGATCTCTGTATAGAGCACTTGAATACCCTATTTCAGACTTTTCAGGGGGAAGAAAGATTCAGATAGGTAAATGATACAATCCAAAAACCTATAAAAAGAGAGAAAGATTGAGGCAGAGGGAAAGAGACAGAGAGAAACAGAGAACAGAACAGATACAAAGAAAAGAATGTTACCTACTTTGATGGATTTAATAACAAACTTAAGTTGAGCCACTCTCAATTTATGTCATGAGTTTTACATTGAGTAAGCTACTATTCATTAAATGGGAGTGAAACTAAATGAAAAGCTTTAGCAATTAAGGTACAGCCAATTTATAAAACAAAATCTAAATTGTTCATTTAACTCTAACATTATTACTTATTAAATTCTATGTTATTACCTAAATTATAATCGTATTTATTGAAATAGTCACTTTAACTAGGTGACAGCTCCTAAATACATATAGAACCAAACTGGGGTCTCAAAATCTTTTCAAATTCAAGCCTCACTCTTCCAGCTCTATACTCAAATGTATTCTCCTGTGGCAGCTGTAAACACCTTTGCAGATACATCTGATCTTACAACAATGAATTAAGCATGATAAAACTTAAAATTCTTGAAAGATATCTCTCATTTTGACATAATACGTCATCGTAAATTTTGGAATGCTGCTGACCACTTCATCAGCAATCGTCTAAATCTGATCTGAATCCTAGTACAATTTCTTTGGCTTAGATCTTCTTGCACACTTTAAAAAATAAATGATAGACTGTTGTGAATAGAGTTTAGCAAATTTTAGTTTGAACCAAGAAACTGGAGCTGGCACTGTTTAATTTAAACCAGAACAGAATTTAAGTCAGGTTTTTCACTTAAAGAACCCCAAAGCTTTCACTGTGGTTACACAACACCTTTCATTCAACTCAAAACTAAATATTTAGTTTCATTTTGTTTAACTTGGTTTAACTTGTTTTTCTTTCTTTTCTTTCAAAATATGGTTTAAATAGACAATTGAACCTTTTAAAAATAATAAAGATAAATACTTTGGCACCTCAAAATGACAGAACAAAGTATGTCTACACTTTTTACTCTTTGATGAAGCCAGCCCAAATTCATAAAAAGCTCATTTCTCTCTAAAATTCTGTGTCAGCAATAATCTGAACAGCCCTATTCGTGAAGTGAAAAGTTTTCATGTTTCATGAATAAGCATAACTATTTGTGTGCCTCCATTAAACATATAATTGATGATTTAATGATGATAAGTAGATGACACCAGTAAGAGAGGGACAAATTTTATTAATTTTACTAATTAACAAAATTTACTAATTTTACTAATGTAAATTCTACTGGAGTTTTTGTTTTCTTACAGAAAAATAAATAAATGAAAACAAATCTCACCATATCTGCCAAAGAGATGTACAGGAACATTCCACCAGCTACGGCAAAGATGATGTTAGGAGCAAAGTTGTTGCCTACTAATATACCAAACGCCATCCCAATGTAACAGGAACATGCAGACAGAAAATTGAAAAACAGAGCCTGCCGAGTACTCATTCCTGCATTAAGCAAGATGACAAAATCCCCTAAAAGAAAGAAAAAAATCTTCAGAAAATGATATTGTGATTATTTTCTCATTTCAAAGGAAGTCTGAAGACATGATCCGTATATAAATTATGATCCCTGATGTTTTTCTTCATTCAAGTATATAATGAGGATTTCCCTTCAAAACTAGGGTAACTGAAATATTCTAAAGCAAGTAGCTATGTACATTTGAGCTAAGAGCATAGAAACACAGAACTACCTATAAGGATTTCAGAAAAATAATGTATACAACAGTGTATGTAGCATATATGAACAGGCCAATTAATACCTCTCTAATATACCAGCTTTCACCCATCTGCACCTGGGACCTTTCTGCGCTAGATGTGTATTTTGGTGCTTTGAAATTTTCTGATGAATATGTTCTCCAATAATTTATCTAAACCTTCAATCAATGCCAAATTTTGGCCAGCACAACCTCCAATAACAGCGATTTCCACAGTAAACAGTGTTGAATGAAGTTCCTTACCCAGTTCATGAGGAAACTCTTCACACAAGATGGCTATGGAGGTACTAAGCCCTTGAAACAGAGACAAAGTGAAGGAAGCACCAATAGCCAAACCATCTATGAAATTATGTACAGCATCACTCAGTGTTACCATCCAAGCAATGGTACCAATCTTTGACAGTGGACGCCCATTAAGGCACTTGCATAAATTGGCTTGGGTGGCTTCTTCCTAGAAAAAAATAACAGAAAAAACCAATTACATACAACGCTAAATAAAGAAGGCATCTTTTCTGTCTTTAAATGAATGCTAAGTATAAAATAAAGCACTACTGCATATGGAGACCAAAATGCTTGGTTCAAGAAGCAAAAAAGCACAGGTAACAGCAGCAAATGTTTTCTGTTCCAACAAGTTAACACACAGGGCCAAATCACCCTTCTCTCTACAAAGCTTTATTTAAATGTTCTTCAGCTAAGGCAGAAAACAGTTCACACTACAGTGGTCTGAATGTCTCTCTGGAGTATCTGTCAGATTAAGAGAATGCAAGCTCCTCATAGCCTCCTAAACCACCTTTATTAAGCATGTATAGTCAGAAGGATCTGATCACAGTGACAGACCGCATGCGTTTCCTATCTAAAACCCATTTCCTACCTGGCCCAGTTACATACTGCCAGTACATCATGCTCTCAGACACACACTTAGCTGCCACAATAACAGCCATGTACATATGAATATAGACACACATCCAGATACTCCATAAACTTCATTTCTAATCTGCAGCAATGACAGTCATGCCCAGTTATCCAAATTAGTTTCTACAAAGTGCATGTTTAATAAAAACATAAGGGGGTAATTCTGACTGTGCAAACTGAAGGCTCAGAGCATGAGAACAACAGGCTAATACAAACCTCCAATGCACATACATACCCACAAAAGTGAAAATAATTTATACATGCGGTGCCATGAAGTAACACAAAACATGATTCCAGTAAAAGGAACTACCGTTTTAGTAGGAAGCACAAATTAACCTTCCCTAAAAAATTCCTGATGATCCTGTCGTGGTTTAAGCCCAGCTGGTAACTCAGCACCACGCAGCCATTCACTCACCATCCCCCTTAGTATCCCCCTGCTCCTGGCGGGATGGGGAGGAGAATCAAAAAAATAGAAACCCCATGGGTTGAAATAAGAACAGTTCAATTATTAAAGTATAATATTAATAGTATAATATTAATTACTATAGTATAATATTAAACTTCTACTACTAATAATAATAATAAGGGAAATAACAAGGGGAAAGAATATAAAACTAAAAGAGGAAAGGGAAAAAACCCAATAAACACAAGTGACGCTCAATGCAATTGCTCACAACCCACTTACCGACACCCAGCCCAACTCAAGCAGCCATCTGCCTTCTGGGTGACTCCCCTCAGTTTAAATACTGGGCATGACATGCTGTGATATGAAATAGCCCCTTGGCTAGTTTGGGTCAGATGTCCTGTCTCTGCTCTTTCCTGAATTCTTGTGCCCCTCTTCACTGGCAGAGCATGAGAGACTGAAAATTCCTTTATGTAAAGTAAGCACTACTTTGCGACAACTAAAACATTGGTATTATCAGCATTGTTCTCAGACTGAAGCCAAAACACAGCACTGCACCAGCTACTAGGAAGGAGAAAAAAGTAACTGTTACAGCTGAAACCAGGACAATCCATCAGACTGCATTTTGAAAAGGTATATTAGTAACTTCTATTATATATGAGAAAGAGAGGTAGTAGTGGGTTTTGTTCTATAAAAACCCTCTATTACCAAAAAACATCCCACACGAAATGCCAAGCATCTCCATAAAATAAGTGGTTTTACAAAAAGTGTTTGTTATGATGAAAAAATGAAAACAGTGAGCAAATAATAGAAACATGCAAAAATGTGACTTGTGCCTATGTGTTTATGTTTGTTCCCATCAAAGCACATTCAGGCTTTTTTTGTGGAAACCATGTGTGTTGTGTGCCTACAGTTTTCTGTGGGCTGTAGGGGCATAACTGGCTTAGCCATAGCACCAAGCAAAAGAGCCATGTTCTGGTACCAGTTGCACAGCTGCCAGTTCAGCATTGCATATGTGTGACAAACATGAAAATCTGATCAGAAAGGGTTTTTTCCTTTAACTAAATAATTTACAAATATATGTGCTGAACCTTCCATGTGCGTATGAAGAAAATGAACATTGAGTAAGAAGATGCTATTTAGAATTAACTTGAACTCATTAAGAATGGAACTGACTCTACAAATGTGCTGAGGTTTGGGCTGTTTTACTTATGTACTTTTTAAAGTATTTGCAATTTAGGAGAACAGTATTGATTAAGTTCTAAAAATCACTTTGTTGATCCAGTCTTTCAAAATGCAGAAACAATTGGTATTTAAAAACTGGAAATCAGTTACTGGGAGGCTTCTGTAATATATACAGGGCTATCTGCTGTTTACTGTGTAGCTTTGAAGTATCATAATTCTTGCCTGTAATCTATTTCAGATAATGTCTTGACTTCTATAAATTATATAAAGTACAATTACATTGTTTGTCTGGGTTTACATTCTGAACTTTAACAGCTCGTGTGTCAAATAGAAGTAGATGGACGACTAATGCATATGCTTAACGTTTAAGATCAGGCAGAATACTGACAAACTGACCCTACAAATACATAAGATTCCAAGGCGAAAACTAACAATGTCTGTCTCTGCTGGACTGTTCTCACTTTGTCATGGTAGTTTGATAGTTTCATCACAGACAAGGTGCCAGCTAAGGAGCATTGTAATGCCCAACTGGACTATCAGGTCTGACTTTTATTAATTATTAGTGCAGATCTGTATTATTTGTATCTCCACAGTTTATGGTGAACCAAAGACATCCTTGGTACTTTTGCTCTTCTGAACACAATTTTTTCTTTAAAAGTAATGTCATATCCTTTGTTCCCAAATTTAAGAAATCATACAGAGACTCTCTTATTTTATCCTACGATATCTCATCAGATTACTATTGTTATTTCTAATGCAACTCTGACTCCCTCAGATATGAATGAGACATGCCCTTCTGTGTGCTCTGGCAGTGCCCACAGGACCAAGAAGGACCACTGACACTGGCCTCCAGGGCATAAATAAAGGCCACCATGAAGTTTAGTTATACAACTCTAACACTGTGCACTCAAGGATACAGACACTTCAGCAAATTGTCTCTGAAAGAAAATCTTCTTTAAAGATTCTGTTGTAAAGCCACATCATTTTAATGCATCGTAGATAAAAATTTGGGGTAAGTATGAAAGAGGTTTCCTTGGTTGCATTTACTACTGCAAGTGAAATCTGAAAGTATGTGACTAATTAAACATTCAGATTTACTCCGGCAGTCAGTCTGTTCTGGCATTAAGAAAGAGAATACGGCTGGATCTCATGGCTGAAAACAATTAATACACTTTAGTACAATTAGACTTCAAACTCCCTCCTTAAAGCCTACGTGATGATTTGCAGCTATGTTGTGTTTGCCCTCTGTAATAAGCTTTAGATTACAAGGACACATAAAAATTCTATTAGGTAGGTGTTCACTTATGCCAAATGGTTCCTTCACAAATAACCAAATGCCTGTAAACTTGAACGTGTGCCCTACCCTTATGGCACTACCCAGCCTGCTCCAAAATCCCTCAGCCACATTGGCCCTCCCCTGCCTCCTAATGACTTTGAAGCTTACCTCGCCTCTGAACCTGACTGGAGGAGGAAAAGTAATGATAGCTTTTTTTGCTATCTCCAGTTATCAGCAGGGGACTATCTGCCCACTGGGCTTTCCTTGCAGCCAGCCTTGGCTCCAGAGTGAATTTCACCCTGTTACTTTCAGGAGGTTTTAATACAACATATTCTCACCCTGACTTTGGAGAAATGGAGAGAAAGAAAAACTGGGAATTATGAATTTTTTGCAAGAAGAATAAGCAGAGAAGAAGAACCTTTGTGGAATTTTAAGTTCTTAAAGTCAATGTCAAAATAAAAGGAAACGTATGATCCACGAAGTATCCTGGGGTGACCTACAATACTTTATTTCATGAGCACTCCATCTAAACTAGTTGCTAGAAGTAAATGCTATATAGTTACATTTTATTATTATAATATATGGTATGATTTTTGATGTTTATGTTACGCATAAGCAGATGGCTCACCAAAATGTAATAATGGAATAGATCCAGATAAAACTTCTGGTAAACAGAATGGAAAAACACCACCCATACCACTGGAGATGACTGTCTCCATAGAGAGTGAGTTGTTTTATAAATCTACAAAATACAGTTTAGGGACACTCATAATACTAATTCCCTCTTGGTGCCCAGGAAATTTCAATTATTAAGCATGTTTCTCCCAGTTTTTAAAATGCCCAGTATCCACCCGGCTTCATGATATTTCTACTGAAATGACAACTACAGTTTTGGTACTTTAAACTGTGTGCATCAAATGCCACGGGAGCCTACAGGCTCAAGGCAGAACTCTCAGATTCTCTCCTGGCTGCTAGGGCCTGCCTCTGTCTTCTTCTCCTGCTCCTTACTTGCTACTTACAAATAACTTGCTGGCTACAGAATATAGGTGATAAACCAGAAATCACTACTATGATAAAATCTGCCTTATCAAGAGAGAGCTATTTCTATGTGGTTTATTTTTCTTAAATAAGGTACAGTACTGCTCCTCCCTATACTGGAAAAGAGTAAAGAAACACATCAGCTTTCTTTCCCTGCTTCCATTTTCTTCTCAGACAGAAGGAAGTCATGTTTGTAGTATGAAAACAAACAGAGAAATAAAAAGAACAAATCTGAAATAATAAAAGTTACACCAGGAGGAATGGCTTCTGTCTCAACATACTAGCTCTGTAAATCCCACAGTATACTGGAGTAGCACAATATACTGCGTGGAAGTTACATACTGTATTGGTTTTCCTCATTAACCATTGATTCAGAGGAATCAAGTTCTCACATTTACATAGTCAGGAACACAATATGGATCATGAAACACTGAAACACATTATCACTTTTATCCAGCAAAACAGTACCACTCTTCTAAGCAAAACAATAACAAAATCAAAATTAACTGAATTATCTGATTAAATATATCTCTGTTCTACCCACCCTGACACTGATACTAATTAGTTCTTTCTGTTGACTACAAATTGAATGCATCATTCAGCTTTTGTAAGCTTGCCCAAAACCCCACACTTTTTTTCACAAGCTTGCTCAAGCAAGGTAAAAGCTATAAATGTACAAAAAACTGACAAAAGTAATAAAAACTTGTATTAACTCTCCCGTCAGATGTGCTTATAAGATTGGCAGGGATATAACAAATAAATAGACATAATTTTCACACCTGTGCTGAGACCACACTGATGCTGTCGAAACCAAGATTTCCATTGCTCTCTATGACGGCTGAATTTGCATAACATGTCCCCCCATTGCTGGATGGCAGTGTTTTGGGTGGGTTAGGCTTCTCCTGAGAACGATTCTGTCCACTGTTTTCAGAGTCATTATGGCCAGTCTAGGTGACAAATAAGTAAGTAGGTAGCTAATTAAAACAAAAGCATAGTAACAAAAATAAGAATATAGAGACAAAAAAGAATAAGTTGGGGGGCATCATATTCACGCTGCTTTGCTTTCAACAAAAGTTTAAATGGGCAGCAGTAAACATTTAAGTATTTAAATGAACTCCGAATGTATCTAAGTTCCTACTGTGTCTCTTACTTTCAGCTAATCAGAATACATGTGGGGATTTTTCATTTTTGTACCATTATGCACAACCTCCCAAGCTGAACACACGACCATAAGTGACCAACATTTGCTAGCTGTTCATGGCTGCTTGTCAAATAGACGTTTCAGCCTTTGTCAACCATTCCCCAAAATAAAGGGCAGCAAATTCTTCCTTTTCTTTTTGGGTGCAGTTATTACAAATGCAGGACAGTTAATCTTCAGAATCTTCAATACCAGCCAGTCTGGGAGGGACTGACTTCTCCTGCCAGAAGGGGAGCTCTAGGGGCAGACTCCATTTGCTCCAGCTCTTACGTATTTCCACTTTTTTCTGATGTGTTTAGCTAGCACAGCAATGACTTGACAGTTGAGAGCAACTGAAGCACATGTCAGTGACAACAGACCACAGTCACATCTGGATTCTATTCCCAGCTCTGCTTTCAACTCCCTAAAAAAAGTGAGATTGCTTCCCCTATCCATATGGATTTTAAACAGTTATGTCAGAATACACAGTAAGACTGAATTCCTCAGGTAAAATGGAAAACCATTTTATTAAACTACCAAGTACCTCAAAATATGACAGGTACTTAAAGCAAGGCTTGTTCAGTTAGTGATATGTTTCATTACCTGGTTATAGATCTTCAATATGACTTTAAGAATCCTTTCCACAAAGAACAGAATATAGAATCCACCAAACACTGCAACTGCTTTCTCAATGTAGTTATCTACTTTTGGGTCAAACCCAAATGCCTAACAACGAAGAAAAAAACAATGCAAATTAATGTGTAATCTTAGTACATTTACAGAAAGACAAGCAAACAATCTCCACACACACACAGATACTCTGCTAAACTACAGACTGTCTCTCTACTGACCATAAGTTTCCATGGGGCTGAAATTATGAAAGGTACTGATCTTTTTAGATTTTTTTTTCTTTAACTTGGATTAAATGTTAACAGTGTTTGAATTCAGTAGAACTTTAAATGCAGAATGCAGCAGTAAAATGCAAGACAAGGAGAGTCTAGCCTGTAGCCCATTAAGAGTCACTAGCATTTTATCTAATGCATTTCTCTTTCTGCCTAGAGGCAGGATAGTCCTTGGTCTTTCCCATGGTACAACTAGACATACATCTCGATGGCTTTTCTCACCCAGCCAGAAAGAGATGGTATTGAACCCCATCAACAATGAGACTGCAACCGCACACAGAACCCCACTGCATCATGCTTCTAAAATTAATACCTTTAGAAACTAATACGAAAACCAAATGATTCCCCTTGCTTACCTCTGGAATGAGCTGGAAAATTGCATTAGAAAAGAGAGTACCAATGGCCAAACCCACAAAGTAGGTTAAAACCTTGGGAAAATATGACTTCTTTAATAGGGGAGTTAAAATCAATCCCAGAAGTGATGCCAAGTTAATGATAGTCACAGCCAGGAACCCAAATCCCCAAACTGTGGACAAACAAGGAGAAATATATTTTAGTATAACACTCACTTCAGGCTGTTTGCAATTTTTCTAACAGCTAAATTAACATGGAATTAGGAAGGAGAGTGGTTCCTTTGTTGAAGTTATACTTCACAAATGCATAGATACTTAAGATACATACCTGCAGAAAGGAAATAACTGGAAACATTGTCCAGGACTACCATATTAAAAATGGAAACTCTGCTAGTGCAGATCTGGAACAGCCTATCTGCTGCTAGTATAAATCAGGTCTCTCTACAGTCAGAAGAGTAAAAATTAAGGGTTAGGCCAATAGTCCAAGTAGCTATAGCATAGACATAAGGCAAAGATTCTTACTAGTCCCAGGGTTAGATGTAATCGCCATTGGATCTAACACAAGATTAGATCGCCACAAGATACAAAGCCTGCTGTCTTGGCTGTACTAGATCCAAAACATCTTTCCTGATAAAGGATGACTCCTTCAATTCATCCTGAGGTGGTGACTTTCTGTTCCTAACACTCTTTCAAGTGCCTTCCGACCCAAAACATTCTATGAGCTCTGTGAGTGTGGCAAAAAACGTTAAAGGTTGCAGTGAAGAGGTCTACAATACTGCCTCAAGTGATGCCACAGAACCACAAAGTTATCCACAAAGACAATGGGTTCATCCATAAAAATTAACTACAAATAACAGCCAAAGTCGACACAATGTTGGTTATATGAGAACAGTTTGATATAATCCAGACAGTTGCGCCACTGTTTTACAATATGTATGTGGAGAAGTTACCATAAATTCCTTTCTGCATAGCAGAAACTAACAGATCAGATTACAATCTTCAGCCTAACTTTCCTGCAACGCAATTGGCAAACACACTAAACTAGATTCCTTACCTGCAACTGGGATGACTGCTTTGTTTGCAAAGTGTCACAATCTTTATATGCAATGAATTTTATATAATGTCAAGAACAGAAAGCATCAGAAACATTTAAAGCATTTGCAAAACATAAATCATGCCAGTTCAAACATTCATTTGCCATTTTTGAGAGACAGAGCGAGGGAAAAACACACAACTAGATAGGGTAGATTCACTAAGCTATACAGGAGACAAATTTCCATTACAATAAATGCCAATTCAGCTTGTAAATTATTTCTTTTTAAGTCAAATCTATAATAAACACATGGTCTTCCAAAGCCATCATGAGTCACAAACCACTGTTTACAGTCTGGGATTACTATGGGAGCACAATTTTAAACTGAGTTAGAAAATAAAAACCCCATTTATCAGATATGAAGTGCACAGTGTGCTTGCCTGAATAACTTCATCAGACACAGTAAATTAGAACAAGTTTCAAAAATTGTAAGACCCAGTACTAATTACTTTTTGCAACAAAAGAGGATAAATTTACAAATGGTGTGTGTAGTTCAGTGGATGATAAAAACAATACAAGAATGGGGCTTAAAACCAAGCACAAAGAAAAAAAAAAATAGGTTACTGCCAAATTGTGAGACAAGTTTTCACAATACTGTAGTTTCACTAACAAATGGTCTAACTTTCATGCTGAAAGTTCAGAACAGCAAAACATACTGGGACACTTATCTTGAAGTATATGTTATAAATGATACAACTGTCACCATTTTGTATGCTTAATGCAATGGAATATGTCTCATAATGAATTAATGGGCCTGTGCTCATAAGTAGGCACATATTCTAATACACTGGGATATAGTATCCCCTAGATCTGGATAGCCCAAAGAATTTAGGATTTTACATATTGATGTTTTGGTGCTGATTTACTCACCCAAAGTGGAAGAATAAGGAGAAATTAAAATAAGCAATTAAACAACCTCAATGAAAGAATAAATTAAGTATTATCCAACCTAGGCATTTCACTGCAATAAGCCTCAGCAATATGGGGACTAATTTAAACTAATGAAATTTTTAACAGAATAAAATAAATCTAAGATCTTTCTTATACATTTTTTAGGAAGGTGCTCGCGGGCCTTGTGTCAAGTTTTTCTTTGAGTTCAAAAAGACCTGAAATGTAATTAGAAAGGAAAAAAAAAAACCCAAACAGTATTAGCTCATAATTACGCAAGTACGGGAACTGGTACTTCAAGAAAAATACCACAAATAGGAAATATGGGTGGAGGGGTTGATAAAATTCCAAGACAACCAATATTGCAAAAGTTCCTGCATTGTGGACTGTATTTCACAGTATCACGTAGGCACCACTGTCTTAAAAGTGGTTTTATTCACTGGGACTCCATCCACACTAAGCTAAGGCTATGTACCTCAAAGCTGGTTAATCTGACTTTTTGCATCAGAGCAGAGCATTCTGCTTAGGACACAGACTGTCTTCCTCAGGGACTGGTGGCACGGTCAGCCTTGGCCAACTCCCATTATTCTTTCTGTCTCTAGAACTGTAGCCCCAACAAAGAGATAACCAATATACCCAAAGGCACCAGAAATCCAAAAAGCAAAATGGCAGGAGTGAAAGTAAGGTACCCTCCTTAGAACAACAGTGCTCAGCTCTGTGCCTTATGAGAAGTGGAATGACTGCTCTGGGCCTTCTCGAGGCAGGCTCGAACTTTTCCTTAGTCCTGTCCTAGGACAAAGGGGAAATGAGCGTATGAATAACTTTCTGAGGAAGCCAAGCAGAGAGCACAGAGCTTGGACAGAGGCAACACTAGTGTACGTTTCCAGCTATTTCAAGTAGCTCTATAAACCTCTCCCATTATCTTTCAGAGAAGCAAGAAAGGGAAGGACATGAGTGTGCCCCCAGGGTCAGCCAGGTTAGACATGAGTTATACAGACCGCAAGGAAAAAGACAAGCCAGATACTGCATTTCAACTTCTACTCTGCTTCAGCAGCACTTTTCTGCTATTGCAAGTAGCTGCCTGATAAAGCTTACTGTGCTAGTTTCTTCTGTATGTCTTGTCCATTTGTATTTTGGAATACAGAGTATCATTATGTGTGTGGGAGTCCCTGGGCAGAAAATTCACTTAAACGCAGCTGGAAACATACATAGAGGATTTTGCTTCATGGACAGCAACTGAAATCATCTCATCTCAATGCTGCCACAATACAAACTAATTTTGTGATAGGGTGGGGGTGTGTGTAAATTGGTATCTGCATTTGGCACCGAGTCTTTCTGTGAAGGCTTCCAAAAGCCTTCCTTTGAGCCCCCTTCCAAACAGGTACCACTATTGTGTCATTGTGTCACAGCTTCATATACTTGTGGTTTTAAAACCATAGGCGTTGCAGATTTCTTACACTGTGGCCAAGGGAGGGGCAGGGATAAGGCTGCCTTGCTTATCTGCCTACTGGACATAGCTTCTGAACTGGCAGGATAAAAGAAAAACAAGAGGGATGGTCTAAACAGCTAAGGTTAACTATAGGTCAAGCTTTCCATGTACAACCTACTTAAAACAGTCCCAAATAAAAAAACAGAGAAAGACAGATCCTACCCTCCAGTGCAGATATTATGGACTTCTTGACAATATGTGCCCTCATACAGTATAAGCCATCTAGAACAACCATGGTAAATTGATGCTATGGCTTCAGTGATTAATCAAATATAATTTTAATTATTCAGTGACATAGCTAAGTTTTAGGAATGATCTGTGATTCTTAATAAATATCATCTCTTATATTAACCAGAATGTTATTAATACTAATATTGCAAAAGTTATGAAAATTTATGAAAAATACTGTTGTAACTCCTCTCACAAATACTGACATTAGGCACCTGCTCATCCAAGATCCTAACTTTTGACTTTATTTCAGCTGATTCCCTTGAAATAATAAATTTATTTGGAATACTGAGTCAAATAAATAGACAAAACAGGCCATTATCTATTTGATCCTTGTCAGTGCAACAAGCAACTTCATTAACCGGCTGAATCTTCCCTGTCCTACACTTTATAATGCACTGTACAATTTTGTACATAATAAGTACTGAAATAACAGTGAGGAAAAGAGGAGGAAGGATACTCAGCCATGTGATGATGTTCCACATGCACAGAAGATGAAATAAAAGCGGGAGTTGGAGTTTGGAAAGAATATGAGTATTTTCCCTCAGTAAAACAGTCACTGGCTCCCTTGATGTCATGACTCCCACCTGCAAATTATTCCACTTGAAAGCAGTCCCTTAAATATTTTACCTTGACTTGCTTTGGTTCATACACATCCCCCTAAGTCCAATTTCCCACTGTATATCACCTGCACAAACTTCCCTTCTGTACTCCCATCTTCTGTCCTTTTAACCAGCTATTAGTGAGAGTCCTTACGCTTCAAGGCACAAACCATTATCCAAATAAAACAAGTCACAAGGACTCTTCCTTTAAGAGCTAAGTTATTCCATAACAAGATACTTGGTTCTTTCACCCTTCTCTAGAACACTTTGAATAGATCACTGTCAAGAGAGGATATTTGTTTAGATAATTCACTGACCTGAAGCAGTATTTTAATTTTATATTACCACTTTACAACTACATCCTCCTAAACAAGGTAGTCCTATTACATATAGACAAATGCTTACTATTCCCCTAAGAAAACCCCACCTCAGTAGCAGTATAAATGCAATTAATGTTAACTGACCTTGTAAAGAATGTGGTTTGGATGTATCCACAAAATTTTCCTGATCATCACATGGGTGAAAAACGAGCTGTTGCAAAACAGCAGGACATATCGTGGAGAAGTTTGAATACGATACGAGACTGTTGTTCGGTACCCCATGCAATGAAAAAATTTCCTCACCAGTCAAGCACTGGAACAAAACAAGGATTTTATCAACTTAATACATTAACGCAAAACCAAGAAATAAGTCATACAGTGAAAAACCCAAGAATTACAACATGAAAATACCGTGACACATTTTCAAGGAAGCGTACACACTGTTTGCGCCTTGTGCATAAAACCACTCTGCTTAATGTGAAGCAAAAGCAATTTGAAGTATCTTCAGATAAATCACAAATCAACAAAACGTGTTCTAAGTAGACATTTGCAAATCTTGTGCCCTATGAACCACGACAGTTAAACCTTACAATATATTTGGAGGAATAGCTCAAAGTAATTATAATCTCATGTAATAACAAAATAATTACATAGAAGAACAGACTAGATGCAGTTAAAGTCTCAGTGACAGAATTATGTCAGAAAATGACTGGTAATTCAGTGACCCCTTATTCATACAAGAATCCATAGCTACCTTACAAAATGCACTTCTTACCTCCCCAAACCAGATGTTTAAAAACGGTCTAAACATTAGTAGCATTTATCATTTTTTCATACATTTTATAGCAATAATTATTAACAGCAAACGTTGTTTTGTAAAACCGTCCCATACTCCAATGAGATCTCCACTTTGCCTTCAGCTCAGGACAGAAACAGTATCTAAGAAGTCAAGGATAAAAGTACTTAGCAGCACTAACCCAGGCCAGGGGCAGGGCTGGTTGCTCTGTTTCTTACTTTCAATCAAAAATATGTCTCTAGTCCGTGAAGTATCTTAAAATATACATTTAGAGAAAAAAAATAGTATTTTTAATATGAAATGTTCTATACTGCTGAAGTCCTTCATCTCACACTTTCCATTTATTCACATTCACTATTTTCTACAACAATCAATAAGGAAAAAGTGCTCTTTTTTGAGTGTAAACAAAAGTGAATTGGCTTTCTGCTGTACAATAAATGCATACAGAGGTTGAGCCTCAAGCCACAAAAAAAAAAATCAACTTTTTTACTTCTATCTGGATATCTAATATAGAGTATAAGTCTCCCTGTAGCAAATCTCAGTGGGGTTGCAAAAGTAAAGCACTGGAAGCCTTAGCTAAATAAAAAAACAAATGGTCACTCCCTGCACTTTTCAGTTTTGCCTTCAGATTCCACAACACTTCCAATAACGCAAGATTATTATTTGTAAAGAAAATTCCTTCTAGAGATAAGCCAAAGCAACTGCAAGTCATTTATTTCAACAGAGCTGCTTCCGCTTCCATTAATGCATATTTTTCTAACACTGTCCAAAAGGTGAAAGGCATGCACACAACATTTGACTGTAACTATTTCTGATTCAGCTTGGAGGAAGAGAACATGCAGGCCAATTCAAGTTACCTCCAACTAAATTACATCCAGGATGCTTCTGTGCTTCCTCTTTGACAACCCAGTCTATAAGAGCACTCCAAGTACATGACTGAACTTAAACATAAGTTTTGTTAAAGCCATGAGACCTTGAAGACTCAAATATATACAAGCAACGTACATATACTTTCCTCTTTCAGCTAATGTCAAAGTATCACTTATAAAAGAAATATAACTTGATAACAGAAAATGTGGTTTTTTTGCTTTCAAGCACATTGGTCCACTCAATCTCAATGGAAGTAGCGCATCACTCGAGAGACAGCCTTTAGCAGCCCAATACATGAACCTCTGGAGCTTTCTAAACATAACTTAGATTATGTGTCTCACCATTTTACAGTTAACTCCATATTATGGATTAATGCAAGATAAATGGCTAATATGTCCAGTGAAACAACGAAAGGATAGCTGTGGTTTAGAGGAACAGTTCCTATATGGTGTTTCTTGTATTACTGGCTCACAGAGCCATTTCTGGAAGTCTGCAGTGAAAAAAACCTTAGAAAATCAAGCTTGTAGGAGCTGAAAATTCATAACATAACTGTCTCTAATAGAAATCACCTTTAACTATCTCATTCCTAGAAATACAGAATGGATTACTGGTATTTTAAAATACTAATATATTAGCATTACTATTAGTTCACAAAAATCCAAACCATGTTGTAGGTAGAAAAATAGATTACGGAGAGAACATAAATCAGACACAGCATGAATAGTAAACTTGAGACTTGTAACTTTGGATAGGTACAAACAAACAAACAAGAAATACCATGGACAAGAGCTCTTTTATATGAAGATGACAAACAGCATTTTATTTAATTACTCTCATTATTCTGACCAGGGGCAAACCCATAGGATAATGATTCCTATAAATGATTCATTATTGTAAGTCACCTCATCCTCACAGTAAACTCCTACATACATCCAAGAGCTAAAAAGCAAGTTTGCATGAGTTCACTGACACAATTAAAGGATTAATTAAAAGATTAGATCTATTGGAAGCCTTGGACTGGAGCAACTCGTGTGCACATTGCAAAACTGCATTTATCTTTGGCAAATAAATACATTAAGACAGCCACACTGCTGTAAAAACATAAGGAAATTTAGCCTCATGGAACAGGGGACTCAGAATGATATCCTGGCTTACCAGGACTACCATCATGTCTGCCCCCTGCTATTCAGTAAGCCTGTTAGGTAAGGGAACTGGCCATAATGTGACTGTCACCAAGAGTTTAATAAACAATTGCAAAAAAGATATGACATAAGAGATCAGGTCCCTGAACTGTTAAAAAAAATAACTTAAAAAATGTTTTCATTAGAACTGGGGAGGACTTAAACTAGTAGAATGTATACAAACTATTCAGGCTAACAAAAAAAGCTATCAACTAGGTTATTTAAACAGATGTTCACTTTTCTCCTAGCAAGGTTCTCCCAAAAATGATTGACCAATATGGGTTGGGTTTCTTTAAGATGGTAAATTAAATAAAGTGACACCCAACTATCTAGAATCTCTTTACACCTGTATAGTTATAAACAAAGCAAATGCCAGCTCACCACATCCTCTGAAGGAAAGGATGGGACAAATGCAGAGAGGACCTCTATGTGGAAAATTAACAAAAATAATACAGTCCAACCATCCTGCAGTCCTTTTTCTGATCTTCAGCCATTTTCTTATCTTTGTTCTACCTTTGTTTTATCTGTAGCATTCCACATGTGAAGTACTAAAGATACCCAGCAGCAACCTGGACTGCAGTTTCTTGATCTTGCAGGATTAAATACTAGCCTAGCCCACACCAGAGCTGATCAGTGGGTCACTCAGCAGCAACAGGAAAGAAAGAATGCAGTGAATACCTACATGACCAGCATTTTTACTTTATTGTTTTACTTAGCTTGAGCCTGAATCAGGCAAAGTAGAGACATACAACTATGTCTTCCCCAACTTACTTGTAACAAATTAAAGAATCTAAAGCTGATGTGGTGACAGTTTTTTTGTCACTCAGCACGGGTAAGAACTGGATGGTAGGAGACCACCATGCCTTCAAGAAGCAGCACTCCATGAGAGTCAAACCAGATGAAGCTGGTTTGCCTTTGTGTGCTGTACTGGTTTCACATAGACCCTGACATGTTCAAGGCAGCTGCTCATGCTGGGAGCTGAACACTGTACATGAATGCTGAAATTTGCTGAAGATACTGTAGGAATAAGCCATTTACAGGGTAGAACAAGTAAGCCTATTTATTTTCTCGCTGGCCCGGAAACATCAGACTCTTTTCTGAGGTAAAAATTACTTATATCTGTTCATGAATAAAAGTAAAGATTTTAACTTCATTTTGTCCAAATATTTTGTTTAAAAATTAAAATGCATTACATTAAGACACAGTATCCAGGCATAACATCTAGACTGGCATAAACACAGATTTAGAAAACTCAGAGAAGGAAACTGGAGCACGATTTTAGCACTTACTGATTACGTCAAAGCACAAAATAAAGGTGATGTTAAGAAGCTTTCTTTCCAGTGCCCATTTACCTCCCATGTATTTTTTGACCAAAGTTTTTAAGCGTGTAATTTGATCCTTCACCACACATGTGTATTGCTATCATACTACAATTAAACAATGATAGAAGATCAAATATATTTCTATGGTTTTAAATCTTCTTAATAAAATAAAGAGTGAGTAAACATGCCAGCATCTATTATACTGAAATTGCTAATTTATCACTATTAGTAGGGCTAAAATGTGTTGGAATCTCACAGTCAAATGTGAAAAGCCAGCAGTGAACAGTATTTGAGATTGCTCAGTTACTACTTATTTCTCTGACAGTATGTCAGTTTATATATGAAGCAAAGGTGATAACAGAAAAAATGAAGAGCAAAGAAAATATAAAATTATATAAAATATAAACATTTTCTTATATAAACACATATATATAAGAAATATATGTTTATATAAGAAAATACAAACATAAAAGTGCTTGAAGGAAAAAAAAAAAAAGAGACCAAAACCGTAAGTGACTGGAGACAATTCAAACATTCCAAACAGTGCCCCCCAAAAACTGGGGTTTTTTTTTGTCTTTTACAGGAAAAAAATTAACATCTTCATGGACACTATAGGACATACATTACCATAAATGCCTACATGAGCACATATTCAAATACCATCATCAACAAATTAAACAATATTTTCTTCTCCTTTATCTTTTTGTGTCAACTTGGGATCAAAGGAAAACAGAAATCAAACATTCATTTTCCTCTGACTTACACATCCAGACTCCTTCAAACTGTAAGAAAAAGGAACAGCTTCTGGTGGACCCTCTCTTGTAAGATTAATACACTTAACAGAATTGTTATGAACAAAACATTAAAACTAAACACCAGTTCTGGGCTGAAATGAACACAGACTGTTCCTACTGGGTTTTGAAGTGCTGTATCACCTGCCCCTTACAGATCAGCTCTCCACTAAAAATTACTTCAGGCTTGGATAAGGGACTCTCTGACAGAGCAGGGGTGTGTTATCTTGATTATAAGAAAGGCCTGGGAGTCACCCCACTAGCTCTGGACACTGAAGTTAAGAACTGAAACTTTAAGATAAACCTTGTTTCCTCCTGTAGTCAGATATTTATGCAGCCTGAATGGATTCAGC